CCTACATGTGCCGTAAAAATGGGACCATTGTACCCACATCAGCGTTGCCCATCCTGCCAGCGGCCCTCCACTCTTCACCTGTTGATCGATGTCCGATGATCGAAGCGCCTCTTGTTGATCGATGATCGAAGTCCTTCTCGTTGATCGACGATCGAGGTGTAGGGTAGGGTTCGGCTTGCGCAGCCAACTTCAACTGGTGTGTTCGTCACACCAAGTGCGACACGCCTTGCACCCATCTTCGCCTTTCAATCGATCATCCGGCTCCTAGTCACACTTGATCGGATTTTCCGTGGTCGCTCCACGTCAATCGCCCCCTGCGTGCAACGGGACTGTACAGCGGTTCACTCGCACGCAAGCCCCTAACTGTCACACCATATCCCGGATCTTATTCTTCCGACGCTGATCGACCGGCATGCCATCCGCATCCTCTGCACCTTCTTCAGCGCCTGGTGCGCCCAGCGCCAGTGCGCGCCCGTCCACTGCTGACTCCACTTCTGGTGCGTATGCTGTGCATCTCCTGGTGTTGCGACTCTTGCTCATCTTCCTCATTGTGTCCTTCAGCACCTCGGTCTCGAGCTCGTGCGTTGCTCCCGTCGTCTGTCTTGCCCACGCCACCTCTCGCGCCTCCTGCGCTGGATCTAGCTTCTGTCCGCTCGCGGCCGTGGTCGACCATGCCGACGCATTGGAGTCTCTGGTCGAAGACCACCACGCTCTGCAGCTGGTCTGTCGCGATCTGCGAGCTCGTGTGCGTGAGCTGGAGCAGCAGATTGGACGACAACTTCGCCGCTGCTCGTCCCTTTGTCGAATTCGTCGAGAACAAGTACTCCATTGTGCTAAACCAACGTAATCGGGCCCAGGCGGACCTTAGCGAGGCGTCGGACGAGTTGCAGGATCGTCACGATGATTCAGCGGAGCTTTTGGACGTGCGAGATCGTCTGCAGGCGACTCTCAGCGACCACATCGAGGAGCTGGAACGTCTTCACCGTGAGGTCGATGCCTTGGAGACGCGTCTGAGTGCTGCTCGAGCCGTTGCGACTCAATCTTCTCCTGCCGACGCTTGCCGCTTTGCTGCCCTTTACCGCGAGTGTGATCAACTACGGGTCGACCTCCGCAACGCTCGCGATACCTTTCGCACTCAAGGCGTCGCTCTCCATAGCGCCGAGAACACGATCTGCGCTCACGAAACCCACCTGAAGAAGCTGGAAAACTCTGAAGCCCACCTTCAACGTCACGTGAGCAAGTTGGGGTCTCGGCTTGGTCGTGCCCAAGCTCGCCACGAGCGTGCCTGTGAAGAGCGGGACCGGTTCAGCGACGCGGCTGCTGTTGCTGAGGCTGCTACCTGTCGCCTCACCTCGGAACTGGACGAGGTCACCACTGCCCGAGACAAAGCCGTCGCCGCTTCTCAAACTTTTGGTACGTTTGACACTGGTCTGACTTTGTGCATTTGCTAATCTTGATCCTTTGCTCATAGAATTGCGGGTGGCTTCTCTCCACGGCGACGTCGTTCGGTTGGAGCAGGATGCCGATGCGACACGCGTTGATCAAGAGGAGTTCCAAACTCTTCAAGTTCAAATTGGCGTCCTTCAGAAGAAGGTGGAGGATATCTCCCGCGAGAGCGGTGCGTTAAGCCTCCGCGTCTTGGAGGCTGAGACGGCCTGCCACATCGCTGAGGAAGAGCTCGACCAAGCTTCTGCCGATCTACTCGCCCTGCGGTCTCAAGTTGCAGGTTTGATTTCCCTGGTGCAGCCTACTCCGGTTGCTCTTGCCGCGGCTGATGTTCCTGCCGTCGATCCGCCCTCCGTGAGTGATCGCCCCCAGGGTGGAGCCAACCGCACACGTCGTTCTGCTCAAGATCCTGACGACGCCTCGCCTCCTCCACGCTCAAAGCCTCGGCACGAGGCATGGTATCCTCGTCTACACTGCACTCCACGGCTCGCGAACCTGTTTCAAGCTCTTCGTGACGCTGACCGCCAAGATCCCTGGCGCAACCAGTATCGCCAAGCTATTGAAGATCATCCCGGTTCCCAACTTCCCCGTCCTGAGGGCAAGTTCATCCCTCAGGAGTAGCTTCAGTGTCCGGTAAGCTGATCAACATAGTCGGCGCCCTGCGACTCTCAACCACGTTTGGTTTGACCTTGTTCGTACCATGCTGCGTTGTGCTAGATCCTTCTTTGCTTCGAGGCTAACATCTCTTGCTTTTGTAGTTGCACCTGCTCTCGTGTCAATGTCTGGTTGACCGCATCGATGGAGATTTATTTCCTTCACGGCTTCTCGCCCTCGGCACCTCTATTGCGCATCGTCTTACACGACGGCGGCCACACTTTTCGCGCGGTTGTCAGCTCTCTGCTTCAGCTCTTCGCCCCCATGGCTGGATTCCATTTTCTGGTTCTTTGATCGTCGGTTCGATCATCACTTACGGTCGTAGATCTCGATCCACGATTCCGATCATCGGTTACGATCAACCATCTTGATCATCCATCGCAATCATCCAACTTGATCTTCCATCTCGATCATCCATCTCGATCATCCATCTCGATCATCCATCTCGATCATCCATCTCGATCATTCATCTCGATCATCCATCTTGATCATCCATCTCGATCATCCATCTTGATCATCCATCTCGATCATCAGTTTCGATCATCGATCCCAATCATCCATCTCGATCATCAGTCTCGATTATCGATCTTGGACATCGATCTTGATCCATCCGTCTTGATCATCGATCTTGGACATCGATCTTGATCCATCCACCGGGTACGTAATGCCATCCATCACTTGAGCTTCCCTTCTAACTTTCGATGTTCCCTTCTCTTGTCCCGGTTGTTGCCAGGTGTCTTTACGCATTATACAAATACCTATCCACCCAGTGTGTGGCCACCCCACACACTATCCCCACCCGTCAACGACTTACTCAGCGTTCATTCCTTCTTCGTGTGATTGCATCACGTAGAAGCGGTTGCGGGTGGTACGTCCGCGCTCATACTCGTACAACAGAGCGGCGCAATTGAGGTCGGCTTCATTCACCCATGTCGGCTGGTCATAGCCTTTCCAATAGACCTGGAATTCTCGGTGCACCCGCCCATATCGGGTGTCCCAGCTATCGTCGGGCAGCAGTTCTTCGTCGAAGTCTACCCGATCGTCGTCTTCGGTGTTCAACACGGATTTTGGCCGATCTGGGAATGTTCGCACTAGCTTCAACTTCGACAGATGTACTATCGGGGAGATTCGATACCCTGAGCCTGCGGTCTCGAGACGAGCTGCGTGATTGCCGATCAGCTCGGTTACGCGAAACGGTCCATGCCACATGTGTGCGAGCTTGCGAGCGTAGCCTTCCTTTACGCGATCCAGGTAAAGCCATACCTGTGTGTCTTCCTCAATCCGGTGTGGTCTAACGTTTTCGTTGTGCTGGTCAGCCCTAGACTTGATCGCATCACGTATATTCTCGTTGACAGCTTCCCTGGCTCTGCGGTATTGTCCCTATATGTGATACCTCCTTCTCCGTGCATCGCAATCGCGGCGGCGTGTCGATCCCACCGAAGCAACTGCTTCAAGTGTCGACCGCGGGTCCCATCCATGGACTAGGAAGAACGACGTTTCTCCCCTCACTCGATCATGTACCGTATTCAACGCAAACATCAGCCGCTCTGCATAGTCGTCCCAGTCTTGTTGGTTGACGTCTGCAACATACATCTTCAGGGCTCGTGTCAGGGTTTGCACCGTTCGCTCGGCCTTGCCGTTCCCTTGTGGGCGGTAAGCTATTGTCGCGCTCTGCCTCATTTTCACGATCCGGTTGAAGACACGGAAGAAGTCCGACATAAAGCCAGCTCCCGGTCATGTCTGATGACTTCACTTGCGCCGAAACGACGGAAGACGCATTCCTCGTAATTCTCAGCCATTGCCTGCGCCTCTCTCGACGGACCAGCCTTGGCTATTTCATAACCGGTGAACAAGTCGGCCCAAATCAACAGTTCGGTGTTCCCCTTGAATGACTTCGGCAACGACGGAATGTGGTCCATGGAAATCACCTGGAAGGGATATGTACCCTGGATGTTTCCTGGTGCTTCTCCCTGGCCCGTTGACTTTCCCTTCCCGGTTTCGCAATCGGTGCATTCCCCCACGTAACGTTGTACATTGCGATACAGCCCACGCCAGTGAAAGTTCGCTTGGATCCTCCGGTACGTCCTTCCGACGCCTTGATGGCCTCCCTCAAGATTGGCATGATAATGGTGAAGGAAGTTTTGCTGCAAGCTATCGGGTATCACCATCCTGACGAAACCGTCGTGATCTTCGCCTCGTTGCAGTACCTTGGGGCAAAAGAAGAGTAGCCCATTCTCGTCTACTTCGTAATTCGCGGCTATCTTCGAGCATGTCTTCGCCTCTTCTGCTGTCAAGGCACTCACTTCCCCGTCCAGGTACTTCTTCAGATCCGCAATCCATTTCTCTTCATCCTGGCCCTGCCTAATCCTCTGATACCGTATGCGCTGTATGATAGACTCTTCCATCGCTTTCAGTATGTGTCGTTGTCTCTCAGCGGCTCGCGTGATTGCGTTTACGCTGACGACTGTCTCGATCAATTTTGGTTTCAGCATGTCGCCCAGTCGGTTGAGGGTGATCAAGTCCTGGCGACCGTCCTCTGAGGGGACTATTTCGCCTTCTTCCCGTTGCAGCGCCGCACTTGCCAACTTGTTCGCACTCTGGTTCCATTCCAGCTTCACGTGCAGGAACTCGTGCTTCGGCCACGACCGTAGTCGATTCAACGCCTTCTGTCGGAGCAGTTGCAGGCCTGGTGCCTTGCAGTGCATCTCACCCTGCATCTGACGAATAACCAAGTTCGAGTCTCCACACATTACGACGTGCCCATGTCCAAGGTCGAGAGCAAATCGAAACAAAGAATCAGCCCACGGTATTCCGTCTCGTTCACTGTCAAATCTGGCATATACTCGGACATGGCTTCCACCACCGTCCACTCCGGGAGTTTTCACACGACTGCACTATACGCACCACCGCTGCGCTTCAGCCGCGTAGACCCGTCGAAACTCACCACCAAGAGGTTCTCGTCTGGTTCGATCG